AAAAAAGTTTCATCAGTAAAGCGAAACTAATATGCAAATAGACAACGTGATTCGGAAATTTCAATCTTTTTCGTCCCGCCGAGTGTGTATTCCCGTATGCTAAAGAGTCAATTTTCGCACGAAAATCCACTCGCTGCACAGTTTTGCATAAGATAAAACGTCCCGAGAGCGCGAGGCACAGAAGGGCGCACACGTGGGGGGGGTGTCATATTATAGGCTTTGGGTGAAGGGTAAACTCGGCTCGCCCCAAAAGTCCCGCGATAAGATTCGAGCCGTCTTGCCTCATCTTTTGTCGTAAGATGATCGCACTGCGTCCAATGTTCAAATACACCACCCTGTAAATATTCTCCACCCTTTCCTGTACCCGTCCTGTATGTATATATGTAATATGGTGCTTGATTGTTGTCCGCAGGCGACAGCAACGTGCACGTGCAGGTCTCGACACCGGATTACGACCCTAAGGTGTTTGCCCTGGTCGAGCCGTACATATTCGAGGAAACGTCCAAGCTGAGGGGCAGCATCAGTGCCGAGCACGGCATTGGTTTCAAGAAGGCCAAGTACCTCGGGTACAGCAAGGACGAGTCGGCGATCGAGCTCATGCGAGTCGTGAAGCAAACCATGGACCCCAATCGCATACTCAATCCGTACAAGGTCGTGTGGTGATCTTACATGTTGTATGTGGCATTGATGGACGGAAAGGGGCATTTTTTATTTATTTATTTCGGGCCCTCTGAGATGGCTGTTTTGGAATTGGCTGGACATGCATTATTCACGTGCGTGTGTTTTTTCAGCATTCGATCATTGTTGCTACATTTATAGGCAGTTATGCTTTTTGTTTATTTTATTTATTTATTTATTTATTATTATTTTTTTTTTAATACTTGTATTCCTTGAAACACTCGGGGATTTAATAGAATAATATATCGATAACCAAGTTATCGACGCTATTTTTTGATCGACGTTTATTGTATAGTGCATTAAATGCACATGTTACTCATGTTTACCTGAAATAACATGCCTTGCCATAATCGATACTTTATTTGAAAAAAAAAAAAAAAATGTTATACCATAGAAATGCTCATGAATCCGTCGCACAAATATTGAGAAGTGCAACAATTTGTTTTGTGACAATATCGCAGCTGTTAATTTTCATAGTCTTAAGCAAGGGTTCGCCCTAGTGACCAACTGTTGACCAAAGCCAATGACCAAATTGGCCCCAGTGATTGTGTTGAGAAGACAATGGTATACCACTTGCTACAACCAGTTGAGATAGGTATTCAAGAGCGTCTCCTTTTTATTTACACATGTATGTACATATATATATATTTTTTTTCTGTTAAAATTGCAAAGTAAATGTACATGATTATACACACCGAGGGCTCCAAAAAGTGTTGCGTATAATATTATGGTAACGGGGTATACAGTCGTGATATGCAGGCGATGCAACACACTACCCAAGACACGCGGGCTTTTCATCGATTTTCCGCGAGGGCCAACCCGTGCGCTGGTGTGTACATGTATTACACGTAGAGTATATCCACGGAGGGTGTACAAATGTGTAATTGTATCGCATCGAGTCCGCAAAAAAAAAAAAAAAATCCGAGATCAGCGCATTTCTCACCTCTGCAATGATGCATAGCCCTGTGGTTTTTTTTTTCCTTCTTTATCAAACAAATGCTGCCGCGTCACCGATAAATTTTGGTATATTTTTCACGCGTGGCAGGGCTACGCGCGATTTCGAAGCTTCCGCGACTCGAAAGGCCCTATATACTTTGAGAGCGTCGTCACTCATATTTTTTCCCCCCAAAGATGCGGATATAGGTACACTTTCATCCTCCCTTGGATGCTCTTTAGATGCGGACTTTCCGCGCTTGGTTAAAAAGTAGGTATAGGTACTTTTGGGGGTGCAACCTGTGTAGGGTCGAAATAGCCAATAAATCACGGGAGATTACGATAATGTGGCATTTTCTTTGGCCCTTGGCCGAAACGGGTCGCCTCGGGAATCAAACTCGAGAGAAGCTCGATTCAGCAGCGTGCGTTATTGCCGTGTTTTTCTAATCCACGCTGCGTCAAAAGCTCCACGTATACCGAAGATAAGTACATGTAATGCAAGTAGTGATGAATTTTACGGCTCCCTCGTCATTCGAGCTGACGGTTGAGGACATTATTTTTGCAACGCACGTATGTGTATTATTTTATATGTTTATTTGTTATACTACGCGATTCCTTACCCATATGTATGGATAATTTGAGAAAATCGATCATTGATTGGTATAATTATACGTATAGATGTAACAATACGCGTACATTTACTCTACGATTCAATGTTTCCATCGCGATGAACGTGGGATTTTTAATTTCAAACGGGGAGCAGTCGATGCATGTTTCAATCAATAAACGATAAAAGCTGCTTAATACTTAAAAGAGCGCGCGTTTATTATCTCTCGAAAATTATCACCACTCTCTACCTTTGGAAAGATTTTTTTTTTTTTCTCAAACATTGAAAATAAACGAATTAAACGTAATAATGCGACAGCGGTGTGTGGAGTGACGAGTAATGCTGACGATGACTCGCAAAATATGGGGGAATAATGGAAAAAGTCAAATAATCACACAATGGCCGACGCGGGACGCAACAAAGTGGCCATCATACACGTATACCCTTCATATTCCCAGGAACGGCCAATTAAAAACGAGTTAATTGAAATTTATTGTATCCATGTCACGCGTACGGTACCTCTACCTTTTTTTGGGGGAGGGAGGGGGGGGGGTGATAAAGCAGCTTGGATCTATATGTATACGCGCGTACATTTCAGAGGTGTGCAAGTTGGCATTGTCGTGGATTTTTCAAACCAACCTGCGCCGCTGTATAGAATTCGAACAACAAAACGCTTTCGTTCATAAAGACGGCCAACGTATATAGTTATTACGGATACGGATACTTTGTTTAAAAAATACGCTAAATAAATTCACGCGGAACAATAGAACCTGCGCGTGCAACAACTACAAAATTTCCTAAGTAAATTTTACCAACGAGATTCTCGCGATGTATATATGCGTATACTTACATTGTCGGAGGGGTAAATATTTTCTCTATAGGTGCAACAGCCGCGCGCGTGCGGTGCACACACTCTCTCTCAACTCCCCTTTTGTTTATATACTCTCTGCAGCATCAGGGACAATCTCTCACTCGAGTTGGCTTGCACTCTATCTCGCTATATACGTATTACCTCGCCTTCTGTATGTAAAAATACCCCATTTGTTATTTTTTTTTTTTCTTTTTGGAATTATTTCGACGCTGGAGCGCGCGAGTAAACTTCCAGGCCGGACGGCTGCTGTGGGCTCGCGAGGAAAAAGGGCACTCCGTAAAGAGCTTCCGGTCGAGATTGTACCGCTGAATTGCATCCTCCGCGCTGCGGGAGAGAGATAAGCCGAGCTTGCACGAGTGAAGGGGGGCGGGAGGGGCCCGGGCCGATTTTGCAATTATTGCGGTCTGAAAAATTAATTTCCGCCCTCTGGACGTTTCAGCGCTCTCGGCTCGTCCACACGTGCACGCGTACACCCGCTAAAATGCGATTGTTCTCTCGAGATATGAAACAAAAAAATAATAATAACTGTAATTGCGCGAGCACCGGCACATTGCGGTGAATTTAATTTTATCTCAACTATATATAATATGTTCTCTGACCTGCCCCAAGCCCCCAAATTCCTTTGTACGGATCCGTGTACGATAACTGTAGGATGTATTAATCGTTAAAAGTAAAATAAAATTTTATCCCGATATCTGTTGAAATAAAATTGTGTGTGTGTGTGTGTATCCACGGGAATATTCGAGCAGCAAATTCTTGTATACCTGTATCACGGATCCGAGAAATTTCGATAAAATGGGTGGATCAGGTCATGCACGAAGAGCGATTTTTTCCATCATCCGTCACCATATCGTTCTTTTTTTTCTTCTTCTTCGCAAAAATAGCATATAGTGTATTTTTAACAATGACAAAATTAATAATTATAAAAACAGTGTGTATATAATTGTACTTCTCTCGACACCCCGTCGCGCCGGTCCTCGCGTATACCTCCTCATTATAATCGAAAGTAATGGTCCCCCGGGCACCTCGAGCCTAATGTATACTTGCGAATAATTGTTCCTCCGTCTCTTGACCTCTCCTCTCTACGACCCCCTGCCCCTCCCCCTCCCTCATTCTCTGCCCAAAACAATTTGTTTCCCGAGTCTCGGTCTCTTTCCACTGCCTCTCGGGTCGATGATTCGTCGCCGGGGCCCCTTCGCGTGCCAAGCGCACCAACTGCGCCCCGGAAAATCGAAGCTCTCGACGCGAGCTCGAGGGGGGAACAAAAAAAAAAAAAGAGGAATCGAGCCAAAAAGCTCCCCCCCCCCTCTCTCTCTCGAGTTTTTTCCTCTGCGCGCGAGAGCTTTGTGCACAGCAGCAACGGCAAAAGGGAATAGAGAAAAAGCGTTGCACCCCCTATATACACATATTATGTACTCTGGAAGTACATGTATATGTATAGATGGATTGCAAAGGACAGGTCAACGAGCATCGACAACGACGCCGGAGAAAGGAGAAAGGAGGAGTACAGGGCACACATACGGATATAATGCTCCACGGGGGCCGGATTTCGCGCACTTGCATCTCCAGCCGTTTCTTCGACTTTTTCAATAAGCCCCTCTACACCCCACATGCCCCGTTCTTCTTCTTCTTTGACTCTTGTGTACAAGCACTATAGGGATCTTTTTCTCCGTGTGCAGGCTGACGCATACTTATTCCAGCCGGTAATACATATATATACGTATACGTGTGATGCAGGTGTCCAAAGTGTTTTGCGAAAGAGATGACGGTTGAGTTTTGTTTGTCGGCAAAAGTTTTTCGGGTGCCATACATGCCCCCCTCCGAAGATGTGCGAGTTAAGTATGGTCTTTGTTGATTTTTGCCCCCCCCCCCCTCGCCCCATGTATATGGGTGTGCCTTGGTGCAATTCTTCCAATAGTCACGTGTCGTGAGGATTAGAAATCGTTAAAGTGTCCATACATAGTATAGTGTGTAGAGCGGTCCTCGAGAAAAAGTCCCGTATAATCGGGACTTGAAAGGGCACATTATCTCCGTAATTTACGCGGAATCGCTTCCGAGCCGAAAGGGCGACGATTTACGACGACTTACCACGCCCATATGCGCCGAGGGTTCGTGACTTTGTCCGTTCGTGTATACGTACATCTTACTCGAGCTCTAAAATAACTCGTTTTCAAAATAAGTGTATAGGTATATGTGTGCGCTCCAGGACCGGAAGCCATCCAATTCGACCGGCGACGAAATTTATTTCTGCTACTCCGCAAGGGGGTGAACGACGCTCTCTCTCTCTCTCTCTCGTGGATTTTGCAATCTCTTCTCGTTGCAGCGCCGAAACAAAAATGTTCCACACTCGTACTTGGGGGAAAAAAAATACCTCATCTTTCGAACAAATATCTGAAAAAATTGTTATTACATTTTTTTTTATATCCCTCAATTGCACGGCACAATTGAAAATTCATAGCGGCGTACAACTTTGCCGTGTCGTTCCATGCAACAGAGGAGCAAAAAGCTCGGAGCCAACTTTGAATTAATTTGCGCTTTGGTGCTGAAAAAAAAAAAAAAAGAAAAAAAAAGAAGTTTGTTCCGTATTGATCAACCGTGCCATCGGACGTTTCGTCTTGTAACTCGAGACAGCTTTTTTTTGCCACCCCCGTGCCCATATTTCTACGGATTGAATTTCAACTGGGAGGAATTTAAAATGATATTTCAATTAATGCACGAGGAATCGCGATACCGAGGACTATGTAAGCTGGAAAGCTGCCGAGTGGAAAAAGAAATGGAAAATAGGAGGGAAGAAGGAAAAAAGCTCGCGAAACGAGTCGGTCAGCTCGGACGGGGTTATAAGAACTTTCATAATCGGCGCGCGACTGCGCTTCCTTAAAACGCCACGTTTTTTTCTTTTCCTCCCTTCCTCCTCTTGCTCTGTTGTCGCAATCAGGTGTACGCATATTATACCCGAGAAATTTTCGGGAAAGTATCGCGAAAAAAAAAAAAAAAAAAAATGCGTTAACTCAAGTATATTACACGTACACAGTAATACATAATATCTATTGAACATTTTCGTATCCACATGAATCCCGCGCGTTTAATTAAAAGCTTTCGCAAAACTGTAGGGAAAATAAAATAAAACAAAAAGTTCATGTGGCTGAATACACCGAGTTATAAATGTAAAATCTTTATGCCCAATTCACTTTGCCGAGTGCAGTGCACTTGTACTTTCTCTCCTCCGCTTTCTTCCTTTCGGGACA